CTGGAGTGCAGTGGTGAGATCTCCGCTCACTGCAACCTCCACCTCCCAGGCTCAAATGATTCTCTTGCCTCAGCCTCTCGAGTAGCTGGGATTACAGGCAGGCTAATATATATTAAAGACAGGGTTTCACCATGTTGGCCAGGCTGGTCTCGAACTCCTTACCTCAAATAATCAACCTGCCTCAGCCTCCCAAAGTGCTGGGATTACAGGCATAAGCCACTGTGCCCAGCCAGTAAGTTTGATTTCTAATCAAAATTGTTACTAGAAAGAACTGTGTACAAAGCCTCCATAATCTTGAGTTGTTTTTTTCCCCTCACTGAGGTTTTATTCCTTCTAAAAAGAACACATATGAACAACTAAAAGGTTTAATGTCTGTAATAAAATTTATGTACTCTTAAATTCTATATGTTTGAACCATTACCTCTTGCAGCTATTTAAAAACAAATTTTGATATTTTCCCTCTCTGAATAATAGTAACACATGACTATAACAGTAGAGATAATACATTGTTACTTCTACCAATTGTAAAATTTCAGCAATTGGAGTGGTTTGTTAGTTATAAAATATAAGAAACATGTTTTGTGTCTTATTGGAATACCAGGCCACTTTTAGTTCGTTTAGGAGGTCTTTTGAAATACACTAATAAAAGCTCCAAGAAAATTACTTTTACACTTAGCTATATAAAATAAACATTTCCTGAACCAGCTAATTATATAAGTGGGGTAAAGTTTAAAATATTACTCAAAATTTTACTCAAAATTGTACATATTACAACCTATAGTAAAACAGCAAAACATAGCAAATCAGTAGTTATGCACATTTTCAGAAAAGTAGAAGTAAATGTTTGTATAACACTTTAAATGTGCATCTTTATGAAGCTTATTTTCAGATTGAGGCAATTTAATGGGTTCAGAATTCAAGAAAATAAATATATTGTTGACATAAAGTAATTGTAGATTACATGTGTCTGGAGCAGGGTGAAAGCTCCAGATGAACTATCTAGTACCTCTTAATATGCTTTGAGAAGGAAAAGCCCTTGGTAAGCATTTATAATGTATTTAAAACATACCTTGATATGTACGTGTGCCATGATCCTCTTACAAACCTACTGTTTCAAAGATATTGAAAATGAAAATTAACAAAGCAACTACAAAAAATGTAACCAATTCTTCTATTTAAATTTGATATGTATATATATATATTTGGTATAAAAGGAGTCTTAGCAGTTGTGAATGTGAATAATAATTAAAGCACTGACTTCTTTTTAAAAGATAGGGATAGAGAGGTTTGTTACATATGCTTAAGTGGAAAATACACCAGGAATCTATACACATTCTGAATTTGTATGCACCAAACAATATGTTCTAAAAACAAAAGCTTAGTTAGAATTTTATTCTGTGTTCCAAACCGCTGTTCCTACATGGACATTGATCTGTTTGGTTAGGTAAGCATTGGTACGTAGTAGAAAGTAATAGACTCAAGGCTAGGCTCTCATGGTTTTCTTAGAAAAAATTAGGCAAGTAAAAAAAATCCAAGCTATGGATGAGCCTATAAGAAAGGTGAGGCTTACAAATAGCAAATTTTATAGGTTAAATTTTAATGTTACTGATTAAAGTTTTGATATTTTCAAAAGTTTTTGCAAAGTTATTTAGATATACTATAATTCTACTTAACATCTGAATGAGGTTTCAGGACCGTTGCACTTCTGCTTGGAATCTTTCCCTATATTTATTTGTCTAACTAATTTCTACTCAGCCTTT